TGTTTGGTCATTGATCCAACTCCAATAGTCTAAAGGAATATTTTCCAATTTTTTAAGTAATGGATCATTAAATGGATATTTCATATTCTTGTATGCTAACAATTCTTGCACTATTGTGTCAGGTTCTTCATCAAACCATTTTACAAAATAATAATAAATCCATTGAGAAAGTTTAGATGAAGTAATATTTTCAGATCTAGAAATCAATTCCAATTTGTATAATGGGTGTAGATAAAAAGAAAGTAAAAGAAGTGGCTGCTCCCAGGCAAACCATCTTTTCTCCAATCTTAAAACCATATTATCTTTGAAATCATCATCAGGATTAGATAAAGTTTGCTCCATAAAATAACCAAAACAGTGTAAAACTTCAAACAGACATGCTTTATTTTTTTGTAAAGTGTTAAGTGCTAGATAATATGGATAAAAAAGAGCTTCTAATTCTGCCAATTTACCCCAGAATTCTGGATCCTCTAAAATTGATAATACACGATTTGCCATAATAACATTATTTTGTTGATTAGTAACAGAATCATCATTGACAACTGTGACATCTCCAAGTTCATTTCTACCTGCAAGTGACTAAATTAAATAAATTAATTACAAAAAAAAAAATATGATAAATTAATGAATATCTCTACATGAAAATTGCCTAAATTTATATAATAAAATAAGGCTATACCCACCCTTAATGCTCTTTTATTTTTCAAAATTGAATTGTAACACATATAATATGAGTTCCATCTAGTCTTTCCAGGTTTTACTAGTGAATATTGATTACCATAAATTTTTAATTGTTCTTCATGTAATTCACCTAAAAAAAAAGTTGATGCATTGAAATAACTAACAACCACTTCAGCTTTTCTTGAGGTAGTAAGGAATTCAGATGATGATTTAAGTATGTCAGCAATACAGAGATTTGTCTGGTGTGCAAAACATGGGAGGAAAATAATATCTTTATATATTCTTCTTAATTTTTTTCTAAATATATTTATAAAATGAAATGTAATTCAGTAATTCATCTTTTTTCCAAAAAAGCATAATTAATCAATCATTACCTTGCTGCATTGTAAGCTGATGCAGAATCAGTTACTAAACCATTGATTTTTATATTCTTTATTCTAGTAGTATTTATAAATTCACTTATTTTTTGTACAACAGCTTCAGTATGTGACCTTTGACAGCTTATATCTTCAGCTCCCCAAATTAATACTTGACCATCTGATCTTGTTAATACGAAATCTAAAATATTTTGCTTTGCAACATTCTTCCATCCATCCAATGAAATAGTTACACCTTGTTGGTCTTCTTTTGCTGCTGTTTCAATTACTTGTTGTATATCTTGAGAAAAATTCTTCAAGACATCATTTGATAATTTTTTCCTACTTGGTAATTTTACACAAGGTGATAAAAATTTAAAAAATTCTATAGTTTCTTCATTTTCAGTCCAATGAAAGGACCAGCCATTAGATATTGTCATTTTTAACAATAATTTATTGAAAATTGTTTCTTCATTAGGACGAAGTGGTCTTCCAATAAATTCATTTATTTTTGATTGCCTTGATGATAACGTTTTTTGTTCTGGAATTTTTTTCAACCTTTTATTTTGATTTATATGTGAAATATTAAATGAATTGGAACTTTCAGACAGAGGAGATGTAATAGATGAATTATCATAATTATCATTATCATCCAGCTCTGTTGTAAGATCATAAACTAAAAAATAAAATATGATTAATTATTGCTTTACATATATTAATTAAATATAAAATACATACAATCAATATCAGCATCAGCATCAACTTCAACTTTTATACTATTATTAAGTCTTGACTCAATTCTTTTTTGTTTAATCATTTCTAAATGTGAATTTATTGATTCCAATTCATCTGGATTAATAGTTGCAAAGTTTTCACAATTAATTAGGTGTTTACCAATAGATGGAACAGTATTAGAAATTTTTAATTGTGTAGCATTATGTAAAGACCATTCCCATCCTTTTATTTGTATGCAGGCTTTGCAGATAGCTAAACAATTACTTTTATTAACCATTATCTCTCTTTTTGTTACAACATATTTGCAAAAAATATGTGAAGGTTTTCCACCTGTGTGTCTACTACTCATTTTTAAAAAAAAATTTTTTTTTTTTTCATTACAATTATTCTCTTATGAACAAATATTTTTTAATATAAGTTATCTTTTTATTTCCTAAAAATAATCTCTTATTTATAATGATAAAAATACAGATAATCTCATCTATCCCGAATGTCTAACACTTTCAAATATCTGTGTAATAATTTACATTATAACTAAATCATTGATAAATGTATATAACAATTTATGGAAATAAATAAGAAATAGTCTAAACATTATAGTCAAACAAATTATTTCTTTATTTTAGATAGTTAAACATGCATACAGGCATGCTCAGTAAAAAGTAGTTTTTATACATTTATTACATGAAGTGTTGTTACATTAATAAAAAAACAAAGTATATAATTACATAAAATTACAAATATTCGAATATGGAGTTAGTATTAGATGGAACTTATGAGCAAAGCCACATCTACAAAATGATCATCACATGGAGGCCATGTACAAAAAAATCATAAGTCCCGTCCAAAAGAAAAAAGAACTTTATAGTGGCAGTGACATTATCCATATTTATTTCATTATTATATGTAAAATGTAGGTATTAAAAATAAAATTTTTCAGTGGTTCCAGTGGTTCC